TCATCTATTGCTCCACCGACACAACCAGGTCTGCCAACTCCATCAAGTCCACATTTACCAAGTGAATCTCCATCGGCCCCACCATCCTCAACATCACCCCACATAGATACCAACCCTTCACAATCTCAATCATCAACTCACACAGAATTAAATCAATCTCTACCTAGGCGTCCCTCATCCACAACCATCCGTTCCTCTGCTCTTGGCCATTCAATGGTTACCTGCCTGAAAAATGGTACTATATCTCACCAGACTCTCAGCCATCAACATACCTACGCCTTAACAGTCTCAACTCACCCATACACAGAGCCCTCATGTTACACTCAAGCTTTTCATGACCCCAAGTGGCATGCTGCTATTGCTACAGAATATACAGCCTTGATAAAAAATAGGACATGGGATCTCGTACCTCCTCCATCACATGCTTGACCAATAGGATGCAAATGGTTGTATAAAGTGAAACTACATGCAGACAGCTCTCTCGAACAATACAAAGCCTAATTGGTTGCCAAGGGGTTCCATCAGCATCCAGGTACTGACTACACCGAAACTTTCAGTCCAGTGGCTAAACCAGTCACCATTCGCATTGTCCTAGCCCTCGCTTATTCATGAGGATGGTTAATTCACCAGCTTGATGTTTCCAATGCTTTTCTACATGGCCATCTGAACGAGGAAGTTTTCATGGTACAACCTCAGGGGTTTGTAGACGTAACACAACCCCATCATGTGTGTCGTCTTTGACGTTCACTTTACGGGCTCAAACAATCTCCTAGAGCCTGGTACCAAAGACTCAGTTCATATCTTACAAGTCTCGGGTTCAAAATTTCTGGTGCAGACTCCTCACTGTTTGTCCTTCACACTACTGAATACACTATCATCATTTTAGTCTATGTAGATGACATCATTCTCATCGAATGTAATAGCCACTACTACTCAAAACTTTGTAAAGAAATACATATAAAATAACATAAGGAAATTGGGCCCAAATTTTTCTTTTATTAAACATATATACATACTCTTTACAAACATATACGTTTTTACACAAAATATATAACGTATACAAAAGTCATCAAAATATCAGGGACAGTGGAACCACTCCTCCTCACACGCCGACATCCATCCGACAGTGTTCCTCATCTAGGTCCTGCAAAACATGGAAAAACAACGGGGTGAGCACTAAAATAATGCTCAGTAAGTAAATCCTCTACTCATGCTATCCCCGTAACTCTCTCTCTAATTCTTTCCTTACAATTCCTCGTTCCTTATCTCTTTGGGTACGTCTTTCTTTTCCTCTTTCTCTTTCTCTTAGAAACTCTTTTCTCATAACTCTTTCATATGTCACGACCCCATCTCACCGGGGGCACGGCCGGGACTCACTCCCGCTCTACGTGACCTCTATTCACTCTAGCCGATCGGACTCGGTTATGCATGGATTCGGAACCCTTGGCCATGTGAGTATATAATCTCTCTCTCTCGGGTACTCGGGTATAGCCCTCATCCGCATGCACTCTCACGGGCTACACCACTTCTCTATCTGATACTCATGCCGCGCTCTCAATGCGGCGTACATGCGGGAATACTCTACCCATTACTCACGGGTTCCCCATCGCACAACCTACTCTATTCTCTTAACTCTTAAAGAACTTATACTCACATTCTATACTAAATCTCAAGCTACTTCTCAAGTGTATAAACAAAGGTGTAGAGCTATCTCATGCTCCCTAATGCACTAATGAAATGCCAATTATAAGATTTCCTCAAAACAGTCATTCTGCACCAGTCACACTAAAACGGCCATAACTTATGCTATACACCTCGGATTACTACGGTTCTGGTCTCGTTTCAAAGCTTAGAAACAGGGCTACAACTTCTCTGTTTTGGTCTCAGCCCAGTTCGAACCGTAAGATACTCAAAAATTACTCAGAAAGTTACGGCAGTGACAGGGCAGATTTCACTTAGGCATTTCCTCAAACATCTCATGTGCATATAAACACCCTACGAAAATTACTACTAAACTTCATTTTTCTAGCCATCCAAATTGGGGAAAAACTCCCTCAATTACTCATAATCCCTGTCAAGAAAAGCACTCCCAAAAAGGATTACACAACATCTCTCAAACTTCATCTCAAACTCCATTCTCAATACACATATCAACAACACTTCTCATATTTAATCAATCCCAACTACTAAGACTAAGCACACATCTCATCTCAATTTTCAGTAGGTATACCATGTACATACATAATTAAAATAAGTCTCTACTCAAAGCTTAGTCATAACTCAACTTGGTTGGATTTACTTACCTTGTGCAAAGATGGGTTCCTTAGCACTTTTCCTTCCCTTTTGTGGACTTGTCTCTTCTCTACAACTCAAAACAACCACAAGGGCAGCAACAACACAATAAGACCTCACTATAAATACAAGAAAACTCACATCTAAAGCATGAATTCTTACCTTAGGAAGCTTTAGATGAAATCTCTACTCAAAACCCCTCTTAAATCCCTTAGAACTCTTGGAAAATTGGGTGGAGAAATTGAGAGAATATGGGCAATGGAAGAGGCGGTGGAATGAAGATGAGTAAGGGCTTTCTCTACACTTTACTCTTTTTAGTTCATATTATAAGCTTCATTTCCCATTTTGCCCTTGTCCTTTCTTGAAAATTCCATCTATATCCTTTGATTCTTTACAACTACACCCCCATACAAACACAATCTCTACTAAATTTCCTTTCATTTTACTCCCCACTTTTCCTACTAATTAGGGGTAGAATGGTCATTGTGTCCCAAAAGAAGAATTCTCTAGAAAACTCAAGAATCTTTGTTTTAGGCTCTTCGCCGCGGCGAAGCATTTTTCGTCGCCTCGGCGAAATAGGGCAGAACCTACCCGTAATGCCACTTCTCCTCCTCGCCGCGGCGAAGCTTCTTCTTCGCCCCGGCGAAGATTGGATTTCCAACTTCACCAAAACTCAACCCATTTCAAGGCAACAATTCAACCAACTCAACATACAAACTCAATTTAAGTTAAAACAATAAACTTTTAGCTAATACGACAAATCTTAAATACGTACCTCAAGTGGGATATTACATCGAATCCCCTACAGCACCATTTTCCAGTCTACTACACTCACTTCAACGTGAGTTCACTATCAAAGATCTAGGCCCTATCCATTATTTTCTTGGCATAGAAGTTCAGCCCACCTCTGATGGACTTCTCCTACATCAAGCAAAGTTCACTCATGAGATTCTAGTTCGTGCAAAGATGACAGAAGCTCGGGTTGTTTCCACCCCCTGCACCCCGGATGAGCCTCTTTCTGTTCGACATGGTGAGCCACTTCCAGATCCCCTTCTTTATCGGAGCATAGTTGGTGCACTCCAATACTTAACACTAACTCGACCAGACATTGCATACTCTGTTAACACTACCTGTCAATTTCTACATGCACCTACTACTTCACATTGGCAGTTTATCAAGCGCATTCTACGCTACCTGGCTGAGACTCCTTGCCTTGGTCTATGTCTTACTCGAAGTCCATCAACTACTTTGCATGCCTTTTCTGATGCTAGTTGGGCAGGTGATCGTGATGATCGTAGATCGGTTGGTGGATACTGTGTTTTTCTCGGTCGCAACCTTATCTCTTGGTGTTCCAGAAAACAACGCACAATTGCTTGCTCAAGCACAGAGGCCGAGTACAAGTGCCTCACTAACACCACAGTTGAACTCATGTGGATTGAATATCTCCTACATGATCTCCATGCACTCTCTCTTCATCCACCTACGCTTTGGTGTGACAATCTCTCAGCATTATACCTCACGGCGAATCTGGTTTTCCATGCTCGAACCAAGCACATCGAGATTGACTATCATTTCATTCAAGAACGTCTAGCACAAGGACAACTCTCTGTTCACTTCATTTCTTCAGTTGATCAGCCAGCAGATACCTTTACTAAAGGTCTCTCGTCTACACAATTCAAGTTGTTAAGGTCCAAGCTGACAGTTTGTTCCGCACCGTCAGCTTGCGGGGGGATGTTAACTGAGCTCAAAACTACCTCAAACGGAAGTGCAGATTTCTCTCCCTAGAATCAGAAGACCAATTCAGCAGATTAATTCAAACCTGCAATTTGCATCCCACAATATCTGCAACTTTGATTATACAAGATTACATTCTAAAGTGTATATAAACACACTTATAATTAACATGTAAAGTGAAAAGGGAAAATCATCAATACATTCATATTTCTCTTTGAATCTAACCTCTGTCTATTCTTCCTTCCTTCATCTTTCATTCTGAATTTGTGTTTCCTTTTTAGTTGTTTATTTTCTTTAATCGATCCTTAGTTCAAACTGTTTTGCCAGCGAAGCTTTCGAACAAAAAAAAAAAAAAAAAAAAAATTATAATGGTTTAAAATTTAAGTAATAAGTTTCTCCCTAAAAATGTAAATGACTTCCATAATTAAAACAAATTTTCTCCGGTTAATCATTATTTAAAAAATAAAGCTTGTAATTACCTTTTCATCATCATTAATTCTTGAATATGTTCAATATCTACCACAGCTAATCACACGTTGTTCTTCTTCATGGACATGAATGTGTTTTTGGAAAGAAAAAACATATATAAAGTATTCATAATTCTTCCATTAATTTCTAATAGACATATTCTTGACAGTCATCATTAGTGTTTGAAGATATCATGAACAATATTAATTATGTACTTATTAAAAAGTTTTAAGAAGAAAATCGATCTTAAGACAATCAGATTTAGTAACATTTACCACTCAGAAATTTTTTTAAATTTGGTTCTAATTAATTAGAGTCAAAAGAAGCTGGTAATATCATTAATAAATACCTTCAACGACCGCCTGTAATTCAAAGACTTAATTATGCGGAGAAAATTAAGAATATTATATATTAAGCCATTATAAAATCAATCTCCATCGATTCTTGATTAACAAAGTCCGAGTAACATTATCAATCAGCTAATTGAAGCTAGCATAGAGAAGGCAATGACGAGAAAGCTTCTGTTTTGTGCGGTAGATTGGTTGTATGCTCACATAAGTTTCTGGGATATCGGTGAAGCTTTGTTGGGAGTATTCATCTTCAGTTGCATGCACCAAAAATTCACCAACAAAGGGCCTATGTTGTGGCCATTGTTCGGGATCATCCCTTCTATGATTGTCCATCGTGACAACATCTATAACTGGGCCACGCGAGCTTTGGTCAAAGCTGGGGGAACGTTTCACTACAGGGGCGTATTGATGGGAGGCGCCTATGGAATCGCAACAGCTGATCCTTCCAACATTGAGTACATGGTGAAAACAAATTTCAAGAACTTTCCCAAAGGAAAATATTACAGAGAGAGGTTTCTTGATTTGCTAGGAGATGGTATATTCAATGCCGATGGTGAATTATGGAAGGAACAAAGACAGATGGCGAAATCCCAGATGCACTCAACCCGGTTTATGGAGTACTCGTTCCAGACCATGCAGGATTTGGTTCATGAGAAGCTGTTGAAACTGACTGAGAAGCTGGTAAAATCAGGAGATAAATTTGATCTCCAAGAAGTGCTGCTTCGATTTACATTGGATAACATTTGCACTGCCGCTCTTGGAGTTGATCCCGGATGCTTGTCCCTCGATTTACCTGAAGTTCCCTTCGCAAAAGCTTTTGAAGAAGCCACGGAATTCTCTTTGTTCAGGTTCTTGTTTCCACCTTTCGTATGGAAACCTATGAAGCTGTTTGGACTAGGATATGAGAGACGGCTCAAGGAAGCCATTGAAATTGTCCGTAATTTTGCTCAGAAGATTGTGACTGAAAGGAGGAATAAACTTAACAGTCTTGGTAGCTTAAATGATCAATCTGATCTTTTGTCAAGACTTATGGATACTAATGAAAACTTTAAACAAGACAAGAATAAGCAATTCTCCGATAAGTTTTTCATAGATTTCTGTATAAGTTTTATTCTAGCTGGGAGAGACACCACTTCTGTTGCATTGGCATGGTTCTTCTGGTTAGTACACAAAAACCCAAAAGTGGAAACAAAACTTTTCACTGAGATTCAAGATATTATAGCTCAACGTAAGGGAAAGCACCAAGACAATGTAAAATTTACGGTTGAAGAATTAAAGAAAATGGTTTACCTTCAAGCAGCGTTATCTGAGTCCCTGAGGGTGTATCCATCGGTGCCAGTTGAAATGAAACAAGCCATGGAAGATGACCTGCTCCCGGATGGTACAATTGTGAAAAAAGGTGCTCGGGTTGTGTATAGCATATTTTCAATGGGTCGCATGGAGTCAATCTGGGGTAAAGATTGCTTGGAATTTAAGCCAGAGAGGTGGATTAATGAGGAGGGAGAGTTTGTGAGTGAGAATCAATTCAAATATGCAGTGTTTAACGGTGGTCCGAGGTTGTGTATAGGGAAGAAATTTGGATACATGCAGATGAAAATGGTGGCTGCTTCAATCATGTTGAGGTATTCGATTAAGGTAGTTGAAGGTCATAATGTTGTTCCAAAAGTATCAACTACACTCTACATGAAGAATGGGTTGATGGTGACTCTCAACCTTAGGTGAATTATTATATATTAACAAGAGTCTATGGCAATTGAATATTCATAGGCTTTTGATTATATTTGAATATGTGATGTGAACAAGGGAATAGCTTTTCATTTTAGCTTAAATTTAAGATTTCTAAAGCGGTTATATCATCTTCATATATATATATATATATATAATGCCAAATAAAAGGAATGCAAGAATTATAGGATATCTTCGAGTAATACTTATATAAATATATTTTGATTTTCTTGCAAATTTTCGCTTGCTTTAAATTGTGTATATAATTAGGTCATTATATATTATAATCTAAAGATTCATATAATTTTGTATATAAGAATTTGTATACCAACTCTTTAGTATCATTAATTATCTATCTTAATTAATTCAGTGTTTAATTTCAGGGTTATGGCATCTTAACTAGTATAACCCAAATTATAAATTAGCTTGAAATTGGTAAAAAAAATTCTAGCTAGTATTAGAGATTATCCTCTGATCTCCTCAAAGGTTCATTGTGATTTAGCATGAATTATTAATTTTTTTTAAATGAATTGAACAGATAAAGAACGTATTTGAATTGGTGCAAGATTAATTAAGAGTTATAATTTTAACGTAATAACAAAATTCTTCTAAGGTTTCTAAAATAACAAAAATCNGATTTCGGTTGTTGTTTTCTCAGGAGGCTACTCCACTTCTAGATGGTGTCTCGAAGAACTTGTAAAGATCATTGAATGTAAGAAAAATTTTTCACAAATAGTTTTACCGGTTTTCTTTTATGTAGATCCATCAGACGTGAGGAATCAAACTGGAACTTTTGGGGATGGATTTGCTAAGCTTGTAGAAAGTTGTCATAAGGAGAAGTTAGAGAAGCTACAAATGACAGAAGAACAATTTAAAGATAAGGTTCAGAAATGGAGGAATGCTTTGACTGAAGCAGCTAATCTATCTGGCTATACTTTAACTCACACTAAGTAAGTATCTAATTTTTTTTCAATACTTGAAGTTTCAGATGAGTATTTTTCTTTGAATTGTTGAAGATAGATCTTGCTACTTGTATGCTCAATGAGGAAATGACTATATTTACAGTATTTGATTTCGACTAGATATCATCTCATTTAAATCAGATAATGGATCTGAACTTATATTTATCATTATTTGTTCGTGTTTGTTAGGTCTGAATTTGGTATTTCGGAGAAAATTGTCAGAGATATAGTGGAGATGTTGAACTACTTGTCGTCCCCAATTGACAGTAACAATGAATTGGTTGGAATACAACCAATAATCAATTACATAATTAAATATTTATTGTGCCGTAATGATAAATCTCATGATGTTCATACCATAGGAATTTGGGGAATGGGTGGAATGGGTAAGACAACTATTGCCGAGGTTTTATTCAACACAATAAGGAAGAATTTTGAAGCTTCTTACTTTGCTCTAAATGTTAGGGAAAAATCAGACAATCATAATACATTAACCCTTTTGCGACAAGAACTTCTTTCTACGATAACAAATGATCAGCATGCTAATATAAATTTTTCCTTCACAAAAAGAAGGCTTGGATGTAAAAAGGTTGTCATTGTTTTTGATGATGTTACAAATTTAAGTCAAATAGAATTTCTAATTGGGGATCTTAACTCTTTGGGCCCAGGAAGCCAGATTATTATAACAACAATAAATAAACAAATACTCAGAAATTGTGGAGTGGATGAACATAATATATACATGGTAGAGGGATTATCTCATTGTCTAGCACTTCAGCTTTTTAGTAGGTATGCTTTTCGACAAAATCATCCCAAAGTAGATTATGATGAGTTATCAAATAGAGTGGTACAATATGCTAAAGGGGTCCCATTGGCTCTTAAAGTGTTGGGTTCTTTTTTACTTGACAAGACAAAAAAAGTTTGGGAAAGTGCAATAAATAAACTAGAAATTATTCCTCATGAAGACATTCAACATGTTTTAAAAGTAAGCTATGATGGACTCAATGATGTTGAGAAGAATATATTTCTTGGTATTGCGTGTTTCCTAAAATGGGAGAATAGAGATTTTGCAATAATGTTCTTGGATGCTTGTGGATTCTATGCGGAACTTGGAATAAGTGTTCTCATTGACAAATGTCTTGTAACTATATCCACAGGTAATAAGATAACAATGCATAATCTACTTCAAGAAATGGGTTGGGAAATTGTTCGGCAAGAATCAACAAAAGAACCTGGTGAACGAAGTCGTTTATGGCACCATGAAGATATCTATAGTGTATTGGAAGAGAATACGGTAATTGTCCGATGTAGTATATAACTTTTGCTCTTTGTTTTATACATGTGAGATCTAGAAAACATTCGCTCTGAATTATTGTTTCTACTTTTCTGTGTGCATTAGCTTAGGCTTGGGAGATGTTTATTTTTTTATTATGAAAATATGGTCAAAGCAAATACAACATCTAATGCTTAACTGCTATAACTTTTATTAATATGGGTTCTTAAAATATTTCACGCTAATTATCATCTTTTCTTAACAGGGAACTAAAGCCATTGAAGGCATATATTTGGACATGTTTGAAAAAGGAGAGATCATACACTTACAACCTTGTGCCTTACAAATGATGCGGAAATTGAGATTCTTTAAACTATATAGCTCACATAACAAAGAGGATGATGTTAATAAGGTGCATGTTTCTCAAGACCTCTGTTATGTTTTCAATGAGTTAAGGTATCTTTGTTGGCATGGATTCCCATTGAAATCGTTGCAATCAAATTTTCGGACAAAGAATCTAGTTGCAATCAACATGCGTTATAGCAATATCGAACGACTTTGGACTGGTGCCCAGGTATATGTTGATATTTATATGGTGTTTTTTCTATTGTTAATTGTGAATATCAAAGAGACTGATACATGAGAGTGACCTTTTATTTCCTGTCTTACAGCTAGTGAAGTTGAAACATATTGATCTTAGTCACTCTAAGCATCTAAGAAGGCTATTAGATCTCGCCTTGACCCCAAATCTTGAGAGTTTAATTCTAGAAGGTTGCACAAGTTTGTTTGAGATATATTCATCTGTTCTGAGTCTTGATAAGCTTGTTAACTTGAATTTAAGGCACTGCAAAAGCCTTCCTAGTCTTCCTATGGGCATTCGTTTAAAATCTCTTAGGAAAGCCATCCTTTCTTGCTGCTCAAATCTCAAGACGTTTGATCCAGAGATCTCATGTAATATAGAAGAGTTATATTTAGATGAAACTGCAATAGACCAATTGCCCCCTTCAATACAAAATTTGTCGAGGCTAGTTATATTGAATCTTAAGAATTGTGCAATGCTTGAGAGTCTTCCGAGCAATATCTCTTGGTGCTCGAACATTGATGGATTGTTGGACAACTTAGGGAATTTAGAAACTTTGAAGGTGCTTAAAGCAGAGAGAGTCGGTGAATCAGAAGTACTATCATCCATCTTGAATCTGCGCTTTCTGAAGGATCTAAATCTTACCAACTGTTCTCTCAAGGAATTATCCATTAATCTTGGTCAGTTATCCTCACTGGAAAGTTTACATCTAGGTAGAAACCATTTTGAGAGCATTCCAACAAGCATCATACACCTTTCTAAGTCATGGTATCTTGACTTGAGCTATTGCAAGAGGCTTCAATCATTACCAGAACTTCCGCCTCAGGTAGAAGTTCTAAATGCACACAGTTGCATATTGTTATGCCCAGGAAAATGAAGGGCTGACGTGGGAAAGTCACGTGAAGGGTGACCTGCTCCCGTCAGAGCAGCACGCACACGTCAGACCTGCCAAGTGATATGGAGCCCACACGCGTCCCTTTTTCTGCAACAAGTCGTGCGATGTCAACTTGGGAAAAGGAAAATGGGACGTAAAGACAGATTACATCCTGACAATCACACCAAACCGTGGATTTAGTGATGATTATACGCTTCAGTCTGATATAAAATGAAGAAGAACCCTTCATTAGGGGGATTCGGCCGTCTCTCATACAAAAGAACTCTCTCTCTCCTGTAATCATTTTTACTTTTTCATCTTATGTAAGTCAGCTCGCAGCCGCGACCTGACCCACACTAATATCAATACAAATCAGTGGACGTAGGACTTGCTACCTCGGCATCCGAACCACTTAAAAAACTCCTTTTACACTTATTTCGCTTTATATATTTCATTTTCATGTGTATTGAATAACCAATCAGCGTTACACACGTGAAAATTCGTTGGTGCTTAAACTGAGCATCAACACATATCATTGGAAGCTTCATCAAATTTATGAATGCTACTCTCCAGAGGTATTTCTCAAAGTGCAGGAGTTAACTTCAGCAATTGTTTCAAACTGGTGGATCAAACTACATTCAGACAAATTGTGAAAGTTGCTTTTCAGAAAAACTGTCCTCGGAGCACGGTATGGTTGAAAGACTGAAAATACTTCTCTTACTCTTTCTTAGTTAATAGTGCTAAACTTGTTTAATTAAAAGTTAAACAAAAAAAAAAATTCTGATCTTACAAATGATTGACTCTTTTAATTTATTTATTAATTTTGTACAGAGATCATTTCCAAGATGTAGTGCTTCTATCTGTTTCCCTGGAAATGAAATTCCAGAGTGGTTTATCATTCAAAGCACAGGATCTTCTTTAACTTTTGAGCTGAAAGCATACCCTACCTCTGCTGCCTTGAATGATCTAATTTTGTGCACTATTGTAGAATTTCAGAATTATCATAGTGAAGACCAGAGTTTGGTGATTAGCTGTGAGTACACGATCTCAATTAGAAAATCATATGGTAGAGTGCCACCATTTCGTGGAAATATGAGGGTCTGGGACTTTGGTCCTGGACTCGGCTACGTTGACTCAGATCACGTATTCTTGGGATATGATTTTCCTCGAAAATTCGATGAACTTGGCATACGCGGATATTTGATGATGACAATCCAATTTTATGTTGAGAATTTAGATACTAAAAGCAATTGTTGTTGCAAAGTTACAAAGTGTGGAGCTTGGAGTCCAAGTTTGCAGTGGATGACAAGTGAGAAGGATCAGCTCTCCAAGAGATTGAAAATTTCAAATTTCTTAGAAGGCGAATCCAGCTCAAGATAAATAACTTCTAGGTACATAAGGTAATACCGATATTTCAGATCTCACTTTGCTGCTATTTTGGGAAGAAGTTTTGGATAACAAGAACATACTATATCATCTGTATTTTTATATGAAAAAAATCATATCACATATATCGTCCATCTTTGCTCGTTTGATTGTTATGGTTTTAATATAAAACAAAAGAGACACTTACAACAGATATAATCCTAATTCTCTCCAATGTACATATATAGTATAATAATAATTCTTATCAATTAATTAAACAGTGAATTATTTTATGATTAAATTTTTTATTTATTTTACAATATCATTATCATTTAGGATCATTAGTTTACATTGTTTGCTGTTTATCTTCATTTTAAGTCTTCATAATGAATAAGAGGAGGTTCTCTAAAATTAAGTTGCTGATTTTTGAATTAAACAAATATAAAGCTTAATATGGGTTCCTTACAACTATTGGTATTTATTTGAGAATCACACGAGAGCCTTGTTTTGTTTTTAAATTCCCTTATTCTCAGAATCAACAAGTCACTAGATCCTTATACTGCATTAAGGCAGATATTGTGCAATGCTTGAGAGTCTTCCAAGCAATATCTCTGGGTGCTCGAACATTGATGGACTGTCGGACAACTTGGGGATTTTAGAAGCTTTGAAGGTGCTTAAAGCAGAAAGTATCGATATATTAGAAGTACTATCATCCACCTTGGATCGGTGCTTTCTGAAGGAACTAAATCTTACCAACTGTTCTCTCAAGGAATTAACCATCACTTGGTCAGTTATTCTCATTGGAAAGTTAACTTCTAACCGGAAACCATTTTGAGAGCATTCCAACAAGCATCAGACACCTTTCTAAGTTATGGTGTCTTGGCGTGAGCTATTGTGAGAGGCTTCAATCCTTACCTGAATAGAACTTCTACCTCAGTTACAACGCCTAAATGCACACAGTTGCATATCATTGGAAGCATCATCAAATTTATGAATGCTATTCTCAAGAGATATTTCTCAAAGCGCAAGAGTTGACTTCAGCAATTGTTTCAAACTGGTGGATCAAATTGCATTTAGACAAATTGTGAAAGACGCTTTGCAGAAAATTAAGATCCTGTGAACAGTATGGTTGAAAGACTAAAAGGTCTTTCGCACTCTTTCTAATTATTTCATATAGTGTCAAATTTCTTTAATTAAAGTTGCTGATGTTACAAGTGTTTGACTCTTTTTAATTTTTGTAGAGTTTATTTCCAAGAAGTAGTGTTTATATCTGTTTCCCTGGAAATGAAAATCCAGAATGGTTTCTCTTTCAAAGCTCAGGATATTCTGTTACTTTGGACTGGCAAGTAGCAAACCAATTCTCTTCTGCCTTGAATGATCTTATTTTGTGCGCTATTCTAGAGTGTCAAAACTGTCATAGTGGAGGCCAGAGTTTTTTTATTGGCTTTGAGTGCACATTCTCAATTGCCACAGTGCAGCTATGATGTTGCTCAAGGAGGGGCTAGGACTTTGACTCAGATCATGTATTCCTGGGATATGATTTTCCTAGGGTAGATAATGATGTTGCTCAAGAACTATATTTTATGTATATGTAGAATTTAGAATACAATAGGATATAACTATCCTCTAATGAATTTATGTTATTTATAAATTATCTGTGTTAATTAAAATAAAATTGGGATCCTTTAAGTTGTTATTTATTACGTCAAAGTAAAAAATAAAAAACATGACATAAGAGATTGGATTTCCAACAAGAAAGTATCTTTTATAGCAAGTAAAAATATCAGACATAGTAAGAAGACTTCAGACACAGAAATTAACTAATTCAACAATTCACAAAATTATTTATCGTTCAAATGCTTATCCCACCTAAATCAAAGTTATATTACAAGTACGATAGTTGAGGTACAGACTTGGTATCACAGTATTATGGTCGAAGTGTGGCATTATGGAGCCTGAGAACACCCTATCCCGGTTGGGATACTGTAAAGATAATTAGTAATTTTTTTAATTTATTCATTATATAGGAATTCACAATTTATTATAAAATATTATTTGAATTTATAAAACCTTAATCATAATAAAAGAGTTTTAATTCTCTAATTAATCAAACACTTTTTGATAAAATTCATCATGCACTCTCTTTTATTTTGTTTCCGTACCTCTTTTCCTCAATTTTTTTTTTTTTTTAACTTGTTAGATAAAAAGAATATTTGTTCTCTTATTTTATTATTAATGCAATTACTCATATCAACAAGATTAATATTTTTTTTTTACGTGTATTTAAATTTTTTATAGTGCACAAGAAAATTATTTTCTTATTTTGCATTTGATTACATAACAATGGACCACATTGGCCCTAGTGGAGGCTGCTCACCCCACTGAGCCCAACGTGGCATTGAAAATTTGCATATATATTCTACATATTTAAAAGCGTTGTAAGTTAATTTAACTTAGTTTGACCCCACAAACCATTGGAAATATTTTTCTATAAAATAATTGTACTGTAAGTACAATTATTTTATAGAAGTAAATGTTATCTCATTTTGTTTTCTTATTTTATGCAGCGTTAAGATTGACTAAAAAATAAATAAATAAAGAAAAAATTTCAATTTAGTATACATAGAGGTGGAACAAATGGATCGGGTTAGGCGGGTCAACCCTAACTCAGCCCAGGTATACTCCGCCGAGTAGGCTGGGCCTTTATAGGCCAACCTAGCGGTTTTTTTTTTTTTTTTTAAAAAAAAACCCATTGGGTTGAAAACCCCCAACCCCGATAGGTTGGACAAAAAAATAAAAATAAAAAGCTAATTTATATATAGAAATAAAAATAAAAACACAAATCCCTAAATTTGTGTTTTAATTTGTTTTGACAGCAAATATATATCATTTTCAACTAAGGTGTTGGTTAGTATCGTTATTGACATATTAAAAAAAAGCCTTATATCCCTTGTGTCCCTTAAGGTTTGGGTTTCAGTCTCTCACACCTCCAAAGAGATAAATAACTATCTCTCACCTCCCTTCACATTTCAAAAATTGGCACTTACCTCCTTAAAGAGAATTTGTTAAACATATTTTATTAGAAATGTTNCCAGAAAATTATTTCCATTATATTATGTACATCTTAAACTTTATAGCAACCCAAAATTTAGAAGCTGTGTTTGGGAGTTTCCAAGATCTCTCATCGAATGACTACAAATTTGTTGATTTCAAAGTATTTATTTTTTAAACTTTTTTTTGAATTGTTTAAGTGGTTTGAAATTTAGTTATTATGATCACCAACCTATGGTCTAAAAAGAAATGAAATAATTATTTAATCGGCCCTATATCAAGCAGTTTCATAAACAATCAAACTATTATATAAGCAAAGAAAATAAAGAAAATTGATAAAAGTAAAAGAAGTACAACGAGTTATGTGGTTTATCTATTTTGACTACTACGTCTATGATAATGTCATGACAGAGATTTTTTACTATTAAACAAAAGAGTATACTGATACAATCTTTCTCACAATTCACAGAGTTTTTAAAAAAATCAATATTTATGAGGTTTTGAAATCAGATTTGTAATTTTGGACAATAAGTAATTTTGGACAATCTTACTTGTCTCTGCTATAGCTGCAGTTATGGCCCTTATGGGAGCGCATAATAAAGTGAAAATATTGTTGAGTTTGCATTTCCACGTATAAGAGTAATATTACACCTATAATTTTTTCTCACAATTTGAATGTAACAATACGTAATTATGACCTGTTACAAATACAATAAGATTTTGAAAAAAAGTGTATGATAAAAGTTATTGATGCTGTATTTTTCTACGGAGAATTAGTAGAAGTTGTTGATGATGAACACGGAATGATTAATTTATACACGTGGTGGGGACCCATGAGTTGAAAAATATCTTTTATGCGTTGGTATTTTCCAAAATAATTGACTAATTGAGGCAATGATGCATTAATGGAGTACAATTGACGAGATCACAGCCATTTGATCAATCTTTGCACTTTTAACCAAAAAAAAAAAATTTGTGAGAGCAATAATTTGGTGGTGTGGAAAAATATTTTTTATGCGTTGGCGTTTTCCAAAATAAATGAGGTGATGATGGTGAGATCACAGCCATTTGTTTTGTTACAAGTATGCAATTAAATAGGGTGACATCGTCGCCTGAAAACGTAAGCTTATTAATGTACAAAACTATGTCAAATTTCTCGGTTCTTCAATAAAGACAGCATTCATCAAGTTCTATCTTTAAGATTTGACCTCTGACGTAGTTGGGTTGACAGAGATTTCAATTTGAGGCTGAATTGAAGGAGCGACAACTTACCAAAAGAGAAGGAGATGCTCACATTCTACCAGAGATAACTTTCTCAATCTAGTTAATGACAACACCCAATTAGGGATCATAATAAATTTCTTAAAGATAATACCTCTAAATCTATAATAACAATTCAGCTAGTGGAATTTTAGAGTAAATATCTTCTCTACAGTAACTGGAATCGCTATAACAAAGTTGGATTTTCTGTAGCGAATCTGCTTTTTGGATAAATTGTTCCCGAATCCACTTACCAAGATTGCAGCCAACTTCCACAATCTTCAATGCCACCATTTCCCCACTGTTATCAAGATATGAGCCACAAGTGTCACAGTCTATTTCAGAATAAGAATAATATTCCAATACAAATTTAAAAAATGATAGATCTTACAAGTGTGTAATTAGGGTTTGCAATTCATTAGACAAAAATTAATGAAAATCAGAGCATTTGTTATATTCCATGGAATAGTTTTAACATATATTGTGGCCAGGTTCTTCTAAATTAATACACAGGGTTCCCTCATAGTTAAATGGTATATAATAATACTCTTTCTATTAAATTAAGTTAATCAATTGGGGAACAATATTAAGAAGAAAGAGAGAAAAGGGGATAAGGAAAGAGGAGATTCTATTACAAAGCAAAAGATACTCTCAATAATTGATGATACAATTATTTTAATCCATCAATTTACATGGATAGTTCTAGTTCAATTAGTTTAATTTACTTCAAAGAGTCCTTCATAAATTATTAGTATTCATATGCTTTATATATCAATTGATGCATAAACATGGATGTTTCAATCTAAAATATGATTATAATCAATGAAATTTCCTATGTTTCATCTGAAGTAAGCGAACCATATGCCAAATTATGCTAATTTGATATGTGGCGGTGGCAATCAATAAAGCCACCAAAAGTATCACGGTGTGGACTTTAGGAGGAAGTTCATCTATGATTAGATCACTA